ACAAGCAGCACACACCAATGGCTTATAAAATGAGAGACTCATGGGGTTGGAAGCCAACTAGTCCAACCCCTTCTATGAATGCAGGCTGCACTGTTCCTCACCCATTCGAGACAGAAACCCATCCCCCTTTCTTGGGTTTATCCTGGGTCTGATCCTGGGCTTTGACAGTCATTTACCCATGCAGCTTGAATAGCAATTCACTGGAATTAGTGGCCACAGCCCCCCCCCCAAAGTGTCATTTTGGATACTTCACAGGTCCTTAGAGTGGGACAATGCCTTTGTACTTCTCCAGGATCCCAGAATAAGACAAGCCTAGTGGGAAACTGTCTGGTAGTCTGCATGTAGGCAGCCCTGGGCTCTATTCTCAGCTCTGACACGGTCTTCCCTATATGAACTTACGTCACATAAGGCGAGATTTTTTTTAGATGCCTAAAGACAAAGCAACCAGTGGGATTTGGGGACTCAATTAAAATCCCTCTTGGTGTCTGGCTACATTGTTAAGTGCCTCAATCCCTTTATAAGTCGGTCCCTTGCTCTTTCTGCATCTCAGTTCCTACCTCTAAAGTAGAGCTACCTCTTCGCTGTAACAAGATAGTAAGCTGTACTGATATTATGACAGTGAAGACCATAAAAGTGCTTTAAACAGCTGTCATGACCCAGGTAGTTCCTACACACATTTCAGTGATTGCAATACCCGGGCCTCTCAAATGGCATTTACATAAGATTGCTGCTGATAACTTGCTAATTGAATAAATCTGCATTAATTGCTGGCATTATTAACAATGGAACAGTTCCCTAATTCACACTGCGCAAAGCCTGGTTTGCTATCAATGTTAATTAAATGCTCCATTGCCTGACTGCGCAATTACAGCACCGAGAGGGGACAGACCCAAATACAAGTATTTCAGTCATGTTCACTGAAGCTATGCAGCAGCTCAGTTTCCATTCATATCCTGGCTGCTGAATGAGAGATGGGAAGCTGGCTTTCTGTCATTCTTTATTCCAAATGGATTGGATTCTTTTCTCAGTTATTCCCTGGTAAATCAGGAATAAATTCATTGCAAGTGACAAGCTCAACTGGTGTACGGGGGAAGGAGAATAGAGCCAAGGCAGTAATTCAACATCCTGTACACTCCCCTACCCTGGGGGTCTTCAAGAGGAGACTGGACATGCACCTGGCTGGGATCACATGACCCCAGCGCTCTTTCCTGCCCTGGGCAGGGGGTCGGACTCGATCTGCTAAGGTCTCTTCCAACCCCAACATCTATGAGACTTATATTCGCTGCTTTTTATTTGCCATCTAGTCATTGAACCTTCAGTGGTTTGTGTTTTCAAGGCTTTTGCCACAACTATAATGATTAAATGCCTCTTAAAAAGAAATCTTGGATTCTCATATAAATCACCTGTCTCCAGGAACTGGAGTTTTGAAGGAGAAAAATAATGCTTTTGCAAGACTTGGGGTAGAAACGCAAGAGCTCGAAGCACAGAGGTAGATGCTGGATCAGAACCTGAATGGGCGTCCAGCACCCAGAAGCTTTCTGAAGAGGAAGCTTCTCTGGGGCTGCCCCCAAGGGCTGTACTCAGTCACAGTAGACACCGAGAGTCTCAAAAGTGGCCACAAAAGGATGGCACTGGGCAGTCTTGCCAGTGCATTGTGGGTGTGGATGTTGGTTGTAGCTGTGTTGGTCTAAGGACATAGGCAGACAAGGTTCTTTGGGTAGATGCGATATCTTTGGGTAGATACGATACCAGAAGATGGATGTTGATGCCCAAAAGCTTGCAAAGAATAATTTTCTAATGATTTAGTTGGTCTAATAAAATATATTATATCTACCTACCCAAAGAGCCTTGTCTGCCTTGTGGGTGTGGAGCAATTGTGCTGGAGGGCACGTGCTCGATAGCATCCTCTTGGAACGTATCCTCGCTGGGGTGTTGACATGCCCAGCAGGGTTTGCAACCGATTTCAAAATCACCCTTCCAAACATCAGTTTTAAAAATAATACCTTTAAAAAGCTCAGATCCATAGCACAACTTTTTGGGAGGAAGATTGGTTTGAGCCAAAGTGTTGGTTTTTTTTTTGTTTCCCCCCCCCCCCCCGAGCTGCTGAAAATGTCAAAGACGGGTCATTTGAGGTCAATTTAAAAATTACCATAAGTTTGTTTTGTTGCCTGACCATTTAAAAAAAGACAAGGGAAGAAAACAAAATCATAGCATCATCGAGAAGTTGAGCTGGAAAGGAGCTCCAGAGGTCATCTAGTCCAGCCACCTGGCTAAGGCAGAATCAGCCCTATCCAAACCATCCCACACAGATTCATTGTGTAACCTCTTTGTAAAACTACCATCAACCCTGACACACTACATGACGTAACACTGGAACCTGCCACAGGTAAAAGCACAGGGACCACAGTAGCCAACGTCCTGCTTCTACCAAAGGTTGTTATGATACGCTCAAGAGATCCCAGGTAGAGGGCCAACCCCTCGCTATAGAAGGCAACCCCCCAAAAAGTCTACACCAATCTGGCCATGGGGTAAAATTCTTGCTAGACTGCAAATATGGAGATTGGTCTAACCCTGCATGGAGGGGCAAGACCCTCTAGCCAGGAAACTCTGGCTTTACATCCCAGCACGAGCACTGGCACAGCCCAGTCAAAATCCCCAGCTTTGGCTGCAGCCAACACCCAATGTTTCTGAGGAAGGCTTAAACACACCCTGATACACGTAGCTTATAGTAGGGGAGTGAGCAACCAGCAAGCCCCAGAAGCGTGGGACATACCCATAGAAGAACACAGGTATCACTCTGCCTAGAGCATCCCTGACCAGTGGATCTCCAACCTCTTCTTGAAGACCTCCAGTGATGGAGAGTCAACAACTTCCTTCAGTGTCTATTCCATTGCCTCGCTGCTCTGTAAGTGAAGAAGTCTTTTTCTGGATATCCAACCTGAGTCTACTTTCCATGGCTCTATTCACCTTCCTGCTTCTGTATCCCCACCTGACTTCCTCCAACAGTTAGTAATGCACTAATTCCTTTATAGAAATAGTGCTTGACCTTCTGGTCCTGCGAGCCACATAAATAGTACTGGGCCAGTCCATGAGCTGGATCCAGCATGCAGGGTTTGTCCACAGGTGCAATCCAGTGTACTGGCCTGGCCACATGCATTGTGTCATGTGTGGCGTCAGGCCAATCTCATGCACTGGATCCAGTCCCTCATCACCTCGATCCCACATGCTGGATCCGGCTGTGTGCTGCTGACCTAACCCCATGCACCAGCTCCACCCCATGCCTGTATGATCTAGCACACAGCACCACATCATCTAGTCTGCAAGGCTCCCCATAGGTCCAGAGATTTGGGAGTGGAGGAGCTGCAGTTAATGCTGCCACCATTTCCCCACTGCCAAATTTCAGACCTATGAAGAGACCCACAGGCTGGACAACATGGCCTCCCCTCGCTGGCCAGAGCTGGCTCATGGGCCAGAGGTTGATCACCCCTGCTTTGTAGTATCAATGGTTTTCCCTTCCCTAATGTGCTTAAAATCTAGAAGATATTATTTTGCTAGTGCAGGAGCCAAAAAAAAATAGGGCACAGAATAAGAGAAAATGAATGTGTGTGATCCTTCGTTAGGCAGGGCATTGATCACAACCTCCCATTGGCCTCTCCTTCATCAGGTTGCAGTCTCTGGCATGCATTACAGAAGAAGCAGGTTTTGAGGAGAGAGACTTGAAAGAGGAGAATGTGATAACTTAAGACATGTCAGTTGGGAGTTTTTGCCATGTGCCAGAGAGACAGAGACCCGAGACAAAGTGTGAACTTCTAGGATGCATATGCTCAGATCCACATAAAGGTATTTATACTCCTAAGTGATGCTAATGATAATGAGATGCCTCAATGCTTTTCAGGTTCCAGCTCTTAGTATCTTCCATTTCAGGCAGTCTTGTTCATAGGCTAGTATTTCAGGGTCCCTTGCCATTTAAAGTATAGTTTATCATCTCCGAGGACATGGAGATAATAAAAAGTTAAAGAATCACAAGGCGTGTCTACACATGCATTTACACCAGATTAACTTTACTGCCCAGTAAGCAGAAATAGGCCAGCATTGACATGTGCAGGCATTAAAGGTACACGAATGCTGTGTGGACTGACTTGGGACTAAAGTTAGTCCCAAGTCAGTCCATGCACACAGTGCTACTGCACAGTAAGGCATCTAGATGTGCATTACTCTGCAGTAACTAATCAGGCATAAGTTTGATACCTGCATGATGCAGGTATCAAATTTACACTCAAGTTGACATAAGTTGCTATATTTACTGTGCAGTATAGGTATGCATGTGTAGATGTGTCCCAGTACTGCACAGTAATTTTAGTTACTGTACAGTAAATGTGCATGTGTAGACACCTAGAAATTAGTAAACATAAGCGTGCCCCTCATCATTTCCCAAGTTAAAACTGCTTTTGGATTTGATAAGGAAAGGAAAATTTAGGCATAATTTTAACTCTTTTGAAGTTTGTTTGTTAGTAATACCTGGGCCTTTTTGCCCTACATTTAACTATACATTTCCTGAAGGATCAAAAATTACCTTCCAAATATCCAGAAGCAATAAAAAGGGATGGAGTGCTTTAAGAGCTGGAGATATCGGTGTGGAAAGAAAACAAAGGCAATCTGTAATGTGTTTTTATTTTTGCTCTCCCTCCCCTCTCCCAGGGAATGGATGTCTCCATTCAACTCAGATTCACTGGGGAACTGGAAAGAAAGAAAGGGAAGAAAATGGTTTTCAGAAATCAAATAGGAAAGAAACTAGCAGAGTGTTGATGCAAAGAAAAGGTGGAGATGTTGACAGTACACAGGGTGGAAGACACCTATTATTTATAAGGTGTTACTTGGCAGAAGTCAGGAAAAAGATGATGGCTAGAACAGCTCCTATGGCATTATGAAGTTCTTTCTACTGTGTTTCTCTCCTGTCTCACATGTTTTGCTGAGCAAAGCAATGCTGACATTTCAGTTACCTTCAGTGAACATCTGGTTTTATGCTCCTTGGTGCTGAAAGGGGTACCTGGCACCTCTCGGAGCTAAGGCTTTAGGCTCTCTGCAGACTCAGGCAGGCATTACTATAATGGTTCTTGCATGCAGCAGGTTACAAACTGGCTGCTTATATGGAGGAAAGCCACAATCCTGGAAAACAAGAAGAGCTGGCATTTTCCAAAGGGGGCCTTGGGTCTAAAAAAGGGTAAGAACCACTGGTCTAACGGAAGAAGCCCAATTGGACTTAGAGTTGGGATTGTCTCAAAGCTGCTCAACCCAATCATGATGAAGGTGGTTCTGGGCATGCCTACAAACACTCAACAAACAGCAAAGTGAGTGTTTCGGAGAGCCAGGCTTTGGTTTAGCATGGCAGGCAGGCTCTTCCCTTGGTGGATCTAGCCTGTAGTTCAACCCAGCTACTTTTCCCACAATGCCAGCTCATAAGAGGCCTGAAACCGGTCACAGAAGTAGGAAGCCTTGCATCCATGGCCTCTGAAACAGCGGGCCTCCTCAGGGAGGATCTCCTCGGCCCGCCCACCAGTCTCTGGGCAACCGCCCGCCTATCTCGCCCGCCACGCCTTTGATGTTAATTGATTCAATTAAGGTGTCAATTAAGGGGGAGGCTACCCATTTAGTGCCCCAATGCCAGGGGGCGCTCTCTGCGGCTCCTATCCTCCCCAATACCGCAGCCCAAGCCTCGCAGATGGCATCTTGATGTTCACACAACCACCGGCCCCCCCCTGGGCCCCAGAATCATCCCCACAGGATGACCACTCCGCCGTCATCCAGGCTACCTAGCCCCCACAAAGCCATGTTCCCCTCTCAGGTGTGCACAAAGCCATGTTCCCCTCTCGGGTGTGTTCCCCCCGGGACCTTCAGCCACTTGCCCTGACCCACCTCCAGGCCAGTTGGAACTCCAGGCCCCCAGCTCTTGGGCGTCCCTCGCGGTGGGCCCCTGGCCCTTTTGACTCCCATAGTCCTGGCCCCAGCTTGGCCCAGTTGAGGGTACTCTTGCCGCTCACTCGCATCCTCGGGCCTCACTGTGCCACTACTCCCTTTCTCCTAGGGGCAACCACAGCACCATGCCCTATACTCAATCACGCTTTCGGGGTCTGCCCTCTCTGGGCCCCTCACAACACTGGCCCTCCAGGCCCCCCAACAAACACAAGGGTAACCCACCCAGTGGTGGTGGGAGCTAGGGGTTAAGGCACCCCGACCCACCTTTCACCAGGGTGATAACTGGCCTGGCATTTCTTGGGGGCTCCCACGCCCCTGAGAGCCCCACCAGGCCGCCCACTCCCAGCAGGGTGCAGTTTCAGGTCATGCCCAGGACCAGGAGCCTCCTTACCATCCCCTTGCAGCTCCCCCTTACCTCCAGGTCATTCACAGCAGTCCTACAGCCAGGCAATGTTGCTGCCTGGCCCCTGCAGCCAAACTGCCTTGCTTATATAGGCAGCCCTTGCCTCAAAATGGCTGCCCTCATCAGGCACCTGGAGGCTGCCAGCTCCAGGCCCTTAAAGTGGCAGGCACACACAGTGCCCTGCCACAGCCTCCAAACCTCAGCACCCGGTTGTGTGGCTGCTAGCCAATGCTTGATTTAGAAGCACAGGGAAGTAGAGCTCGAAGGGTCCTTGCAAGGTCATTTAGTCCAGCCCCCTGCTCAAGGCAGGACCATCCCTGATGAAACCATCCTAGCCAAGTGCTTGTCTAACCTGATCTTTTAAAAATGACCAAGGATGGACATGCCACAGCCTCTTTGATTTCCCTGGCTGGAATTTAAGATCATTGTGCCTTGTCCTGTCCTCACCATTCACAGAAAATACTCCATCCCCATCCTCCGAAAAGCTCCCCTTCAGGCATTTAAAGACTATTCCCAACCCCCCCCCCCTCTCAACCTTCTCATCTCCAGACTAAATAACCCTGGTTCTTTCAGCCTTTCCTCATAAAGCCGTGTGTCCTATACCGCTAATCATTTGTGTGTGCGCCTGTGCATGCGCACATAAGGAAGGAATTTATATTATGAATATATGAATATGTAAAAGCAACGCTGGAGTCAACTGAACAGTGGTTAAAATGAGTATATATCCATATGCATAATATGTATATAGAACAGTGACTCTCTCTCTCTCTACATATGTGTGTGTGTGTATATATATTTTATGTGTGTGTGTGTATATATATATATATGTTAATCGGCATTATATATTCTCAAGTATTCATTTTAAGTATTCATATATATTCATAAATATGAAAGTTTTCTTTGTACTTATTCGAAATGGTATGAGCACAAGCTGTATTCCCAGAATGTTTTGTACTTGTGTTAAGCTCTATGAGGAAAATGTCTTAACTGTTGGATTGCTGCAGGCTCCAAAGGACATAGCAGAGAGACAGAATTTATTACTTTCTTAGCGAAAACTGTACAGGGTGAGCTAGGGAGAAACTGGGAGAGTATATCCTTGGGATTTGCTAATTCTTCAAATGTGAAACACGGTAAGATAAAATAAAATAAACCCCACCTCAAAACAAGCATGACACCTGAGGTGGTAAAAGAATGTGCTCAGTAAGTTGTAAACCATAGAGGTATAAATGATGGTCTTTAAAATTGGGATGAGCTGCCTGCATACCACAGCTGGAGTAGCAGGCATATTATTTTGACTCACTGAAATGTAATTGTATCTTGCTGTTTGATTAGATTCCCAGAATCCCAGAAAATGAGAGTTGGAAGGGATCCCATCTAGATTTTCACTCCTTCCTTCTTCAGTGTTAGCATCATGGGCCTGTTTCTCCACTGCAAAGGGGTAGAGAAAGTTGAGCACATGCTGATATCCCATGTTCTTGTGATACAAGGAGACAACCCACTCACATTAATTGCTTACAACTGATCCCAGGCAATCCACTGATGCATGCTGAGCCCACACAACTCAAGTTGCAGCGAGGGAAGTTGAGGTTAGATATCTGGAAAAGCTTTCTCATGAGGAGTAGTAAAGCACTGGAGCAGGTCACCCAGAAAGGTTGTGGACTCTCCATCCTTGGAGGTTTTTAAGACCCTACTAAACAAAGCCTTGGCTGGGATGATGTAGTTAGGACCGGTCCTGCTTGGAGCAGGGGGTTGGACTAGATGTGACCTCCTGACGTCCCTTCCCATCCTCATTTTCTATGATTTTATAAAAACTCATTGCCACAAGCTGGAATAGAGGCCACAAGGTGGAATTGATTTAGGATTCAAACAGAGTTGAACCTTTGTTGTTATAACATGAATATCCAGAGTTGTGTTAGAGAGGATGGGGGAAAGTAAACTCAGATGGGTCGAAGAGAGGCAACCTGGTGGCTTCTGGACATAAGCAAGTTTAGGTTCATGCAGGGAAGTTATTCTATAATGACCCACTTCAGTGCTTTCTTATCCTCTCTCTGAGCAGGATAGGCGATACTGGACTGGGTGGATCATCATTCTGACCAAGAATGGAGATTCCTGTATTTTCAGGCATAGTCAGATATTTAGGAGTCACACACAGGCCTAGACAGGAGGGACAAATCCTAAACCAAGGGGCCAGCTCTTTAACTCATCACAATTCAATGTAGGGGGATGTGAGATGCAAGGGATTTGGGGTCAGTTCCTGGTTCTCTTGCTAACTTTGTGGAAGTCACTTAATCTAGTCTCCTAAGGGAGTGGCGTGTCAGTGACCATGTCAGGGAGGCTGGGAGGGTAAGATCTGCACCATGCTCAGGTCGTATGGTGGCAAAGGGTTGGGGAAGACAGATGGGTTCCCCTACAGTCTGTGAGTTCCCATCCCCTGAAGTTAATGAGTTCCCATCTTGGACATCTCCTTTCTGCTTTGATGTTAACCTGGTGGCATGCACAAAACACTGAACAAAGCCCAACCCCCTTCTCTCTTTCTCTTCTCGCCAGTCATAACCTTGTGCTGTATCTTCAAGTGTCGGATCCCCCGGACCAGGAAGGAGATTGAGGCGAGGTACATGCAACGGAAAGCCGCCAAGACGTATGCAGATAAACTGGATACCGTGCCACCGCTCGATGAACTGACCGAGATCCCTGGAGGTACCCGGCTCCTCTCCTGGGGTTACTTTGCTTGCAGGGACACAAAAGGCCAGCCCCTCCAGTGGGTTTCACCAGTAGATCTAGCTCTATGGTGCCCTTTGCAAAGCCCTTGTGCTTTGCACTCTGCACTCGCATGCTAACGCTTGAAGCAGCAAACACTGCCCGTGAGATGAAAGGGACTGATGTTCTGCTGGTGAAAATCAGCCTAGCTGATTGCAGGTCAATGGAGGAAGATCCTCCAGTGATATGAACCAGAGCAGGTGGGTTGAAGTCAATACATTTAAGCAAGGTGAGGATCAGACTCGTGTTTCCATTCATGGGACCAGATGTCAGGGAGCAAGTCAGTTGTGAATATTTCAAATTACCTTTCCATGGTCTGCTGATTTAGACTGGCCAGGCCCATCTCTCTCACTATGATACTCTTACCCTCTCCTTTCCTCTCACTTATTTCTCCTGCTTCTGTGCCCTAGGCTCTACTGAAAGCCTCCCGACTCTCTCTGGCCATATCCAGTCCAGACCTCTCAACTCTCTGCCCGTGGTAAAAGAAGAAGACGAAATGGCCCTGCAAGGAAATTAGCAGGACTGTCTGTCTGTCTGTCTGTGGCTTCTCCTTCCCATGGCTTCATAGGAGACCCTTCACACCAGGACGTTGGGATCACTCATCTCCTTTCCTTTCTTATGTTTAACACTTTTTACTCTCTTAATAGCATTTTCCTAAGATGTTTCTTCTTTACACTGCTCTACATATCCAGCCAAGGGTCAATATTTTTTACAGGAACTTGGAGCTTCGTTGACTCAGGATATTATATTCTGGGGCATGAAGGGAGGCAGGAAAGAGGATTTTTATAAATGTGTAGCAAAAGGCACTGTTTTAGGGTGAAAGAAAACCAGAGGAACAGAGACCCTGAAACAGCAAAACTTCTAAGGTCAGGCCAAACTGCAAACAAAAGGAGCCCAGATCCTCCAAGGTGTATAGGTACATATGTCCTGTAGAAATCAGTCACCTTTGAAGACCTGGACCATGAGATCTGATGCAATGTACACTTAAACTGATGCAAAGGACCAGAGATTTTGAAGGGTTAGACTGTCAGCTAGTATCATTTTGATATAACCCTAATGCATTAAAGGAACCTATGCCAAACTGTGACGTCTCTTGTCCTGGCCTAAGGGAGTGCCTTGCTAGAGTCATCAGAGACCCAAAGGACATTGAGCCAAGTCTTATTCCTATTTTTGCCATTGAGTAAGTAGGCCAATAAATTAGAGGTCCAAGGGCCACCTGAACCATTGGCTCACATGGTTAAGGCACATCAGACTCTGAAGCCAACAACACACAAGGGAATGATGAGTCTAACATCCTATCTGGATACCTGTGACTCCCAGCCCAAATAGCCAAGTGCCCATTTACAGTTGGGTTGACTAGACTCCAAATCAAGGCACTGAACTGGATGCATAGTAAGCCACCTTTACCCATGTACTCCTGCACCCCATCCATCTGTGAGATACATCTCGCAAAACCAATGGATCCAGGGAGTTTTTTGTCCCAGGGAGACTGAACGAGTAGGAATGACCATGGAAACCATTTTGTCCTTGAAGTATGAAACTAGGTGCAAACAGATGGACAAAGGTGACTTTCTTTGCATCAGTATTTACACTGAAGATGTTTAAAATGGAAAGAAGGTCCACCTATGCAAAGGGAATGTAAAATTCTGCCACACTGATGTAGTAGCATTTTGCATTCACGTTGCATAATTATGAATTATTTATTATGCATCATTTACATGATTATTCACTATTATTTATGCAATGCCTAGTAGCCCCAGTCATGGACTAGGAACACAGGCAAGGGGAAAAAAAGCAAATTGTTTTAATTACCAACTGATTAAGCACTTCAAAGATAAAGCCACTGTGTAAGTGCCAAATGAATCACAATGATGTAATGATTGTCACATAGGATTAAGTATTATTGCCTTTTAATATTTGCACCTCTCTGGTGGATGGTTATGGATAGAAGACCCGAGCTGTGAATGGGGTCTGTGTTTTGAAGACTGTACATAGAGGGTGCCACTGCTGTTGGAGAAATATAAGAGATGGCTTAGCACTGTGAGTGTAATGTCGTCTTATTGATGCGAGTCATTCACTTTAGTCTGATATGAGTGGTGCAAGCAGGACTCGAGCTGGTGCCATGTGTCCTGTGAGCTGGATCAGTTGTCCCCCCATGACTACTTTGTAAACCTCCGAGGAGTGTATCCTCATTGCCAGGCTATGGGCTATGCTCTGAGCACCATCCGCCTCCCCCAAATCCT